ATGTCATTTAACAAACTTAAAGCAACACTTGCCATTATGACATTGGCTTTTTCCTGTAACATAATACACAATAAAACCTAATACAGTAAGACACTCGTTCGTTTGGTATTCGAGTGGGGGGTGGGGGGAGGGCAATACATAGAACTTGCCTAATGGGGACGTGCCCGTGAAATGGGTCTCGTTTTCTTTTACTTTGGGTATACGTATCGATCTTATTAATTGATCAAGATAGGTGTGAATAATGGTAAGTGACAGAGGTGTTTCTATGGTCAAAATAATACTTTAATAAATCACTGTTGGCTTACATGTTCTTTGAATGGAGATGCTCTTCTAATTGAGCAAATACGGTAACTGTTTATTTGGAATAAATAGTGATGACAGAAATAGTATAAATATGGGTATATATTGCCACTATCCACTTTTGAGCACTCAGGGGCACCTTCCCACCCAGCTATGTATGAAGTCCCCCCCCTCCGGGTTGGTATCGGCCATCTCGTCCATTGTTCCAAATACCATAGTAACATAGGTCAGCGGAACAGTGAACGCGAGACCCAGTAGACATTAGTTGTGACACTAGTTAAAGAGCAAAAACAAGTCACGTGACTTGCTATCAACGAGATCCTAGCGGCCATTTTTGAATGAAGTCTTGAAATGTTGGTGAAATGTTCGTCGAAATAAATCAGACAATAGGGCAGCATAGTTAGTTATATGACGTTGATATTCTGATGGGATGTTTTGTCTTCTTCCTTAAATGAGTTAAAAGGAGAATATTATGAGCACGTCTTGACTTGGCCTTGATTGGTGAAATGAGTTGGATCAACCATTAAATTACATTGAATCAACACTTTATTCGAGGTTAAAATTTGACATTCCATTGACATTGCTTTCAATTCAGGTCAAATTCATCTGATACATGTCTGTTCCTGTCTGATATGTGTCCGAGTGCACTCACCATGATTTTAAGTGAAAGTGCTAGGCAACCAGTTAAAAATAGACCCAACACAAAAGTTTTTTGGCTGACGACTTGGTGTTTTCGCCAAATTGCCGAGATTTCTCAAAACTGGTCGAAAGTCTTAAAAAGGAGGTCAAATAGACCGACTCGACCGTGAAAATGGAGGTCAAAACAGCGGCACAACTCGTATACGTCAACAATACTCTCGAATACAAGTTTGTTAGTCAAATATTAAAACAATAAATACCTGAGTGTCTGCAGTCAATTCAGATGGATTCTTGAATGACGTCACACTGTTTACGGATGCAGCTGTTTGTTCTCTTCCACTTGGCATTTCCAGCAAAGAACCATCAGCAGTCAAGTCATACATAATATCTATCAAGGTTGAGCGGACCTTTAGGACCAATAAAACATTTGTACTTAACCTTTTGAACTCCAAACTACACCTTCCATATGACTCGCGTCCTTTTGTACATATACGTCATTTTGACGTCATCATTTCGATGTTCAATTCGTGAAACGTGACAAAGGTTTACTATTGCGTTCGAGAGGTTGTGTTTTTTCAAAAATCTACAAATGTTTAATTGCACATATTTAAAAAAATCACAAGTTCAAAACATAAAACAATATACAACAAACAAATACACGGCTGACAAATACAACCCAGTACACAATAAATCAAACATATATCCAAGTCAGGCCGGGTGTTTCGAAAATTGTTTCTGATCAAAAAAACTTGTTATACACTGTCCACAAAAAAAACGATCCTGGGGCAGATCATCTTCGAAACAGGGTTACCACATCTGTGTGCGAGTTAACAATGTCTTCAAAACAATGTTATTGTTAATAGAAATCATTTTTTAATATTAAAAAACTATCGAAATATTCATATACACTCTTAAATGGTGCGGTACTTTCATTGTCCTGTAGTTTTGCATACGTTCACGTACACAATTTCTTAGTTGATTGAGGGCCCATTGGAAATATTTCCTCGTCATCTACAGATTTTTTTAAGCAGGCTTTGGCGCGGGCTGCCCATGTTAAAACAGAAAATAGAAAGCTTACTTCCTGCATCTCATTGATAGTATTTTGATCGTCTTCGTTTTGTATTAACTGACCATTGTTGTTGTCATTAAAGTTGGCCTCCTGTGTGGGTAAGAGATAAACAATCTTGATAAAGTATTACTGAATTTAATTTAAGCATATTGACAATAACAAATTATTTAATTTTAGACATATTTCTGTTCATAAATATAAATAATATAGTGGTCGGCGATGGCCTCGTCTCTAACTTCATCTGATCTAAGTAA